AACCCAACTCCCCCCTAACCAGCTATTGATTTGTGGTGGGGTTAATTTACTTCATTTTTTTGGGTATTGAATTTTTTTTTTATTGACAATTTGGAGACTATATTATAATCATAACAAGTTTTTTGATTGATTTCTTTATTGGATTGATCGTCAAATGATTGGGAGTTCTCATATTGAACACGATAATATCAATTCTTATCAGAGATACTATCTTGTGTCTATCTTCTAGTTCTTCAAGTAATATAGTTCTTATTGTTTGATTATTTTCTTATCCAAAATTCCTTTTATGCATTTGGATGGCGATGACTCATATATGATCAAACTTTGTTAGTTCATTAGTTTTGCTCGGAGTTGTGTTTTATATTTTGGATCAACTATTGATTGTTTAATTCTTGTTGAAATGGACGTTTTGTTTGTTTAAGAACTAGTTTGGCTTTTGTTTCAAATTGGGTAGTGGTGATTTGTTATAGTAGGAATTTGGATTGATGATCTTGTGGGACACTAATGAAGAACACCTCAAGGAGTATTTTAGTACTTATGGCGAGGTGTTGGAAGCTATAATTTCTATTGAATTTTTTTGCAAGTTAATTTCTGTTATTTTTTTTTTGGTTAGTGGTGGTATGTATACGGCAACACAACTAAATCTATATAATTACGTTATTTCGACAATTGTATAATATTCTATCGTATTCATGGTTTGTAAATATGATATGTGACAATCACAATGTGTTGTTTGGTTTGAAACATAACACGATAATATTGAGTATTATTGTCATATAGTGTTGTGGTGTAACATTAATACAAAAAATAAACTTTGTTTGATTTTTTGTTTTTAAACCAATGGATCAAACATTGCTAAAATATTATAATTTTTTTACACTGTTGATAATATACTAATTGAGTCTGATTCTTTAGTATTAGTGAATTTTGTCTTTGGTAGGTGTGGTTGTGCTTTGCCTTTTCTGATTTTTTAAAGCAAATTAGAGCCTTGTTGAGTCAAATGGAGCATGTGCACAAATAAGCAAACAATGTTGCTGACAGATTGGCTAATCAGGCTGTGCACGATAGAGTTTCTGTGAATTTTTCTGATTCTGTGAAACTTCATAGTGCTGTGAAGATGGTTTTGATGCAAGATTTAAGGAAGTTGACTGTGTTAAGAACCAGGAAAGTGGTGGTCTTTGATGATAAGGGTTGAATTTTGGCATTGCAGCAGTCTGTTCTGCTACTACTTATCTAGCCAACCTATTTTTTGTTGCAGCTGCTTTAGGAGATTTGGCCTTTGTCTGTTCAGCTCGTTTGAGAGGGGGTAGGTGATGTAGTAGTAGCTATAAAGGCTTGGGTGGAGTGATTGAGGTTTTATTGATTGATTTTATTGAGAATGGCACTTGGACCTTTCTCAAGTTGATTCTTGTAATTGATTTGTTTATGGAATAAAATTTTTCAGATTTTTCTTTTAAAAAAGTATAACTTAATAATATTTTATTCATTGTTTCCAAAAAATTAATTTTACCCACCATGCCTAACCATCCAAACTTGATATAGAATTGGATTAATTTTTTTTTTTGCAAAGGGTGCAATGGTCATTTCATTTAGATTGAGTTGGACATGTGCATGGGACCCACGGTTTCTATTATTTCTATCCAAATCAAGTATTGCATTGGATAGTGGTAATTGGATTTAACTTAGTTAGGATTACATTGCATTGAGTTAGATTGAATTCGAATTTAAATTCAATCAAACCCAATCTTTCCATGGCAATCCAAACACACCCAATGGGTTTTACATCTAGGAGTCAACATTTTTTTTTAAGAATCCAATGTTTGGTTGGATACCAAATCTAAAGTGTATGTGGTGCCCCATAAAAAGTAAAGGTTCCATTTGATTAAGACTAGAATGCATTTCTTATCATGTAGATAGAAACATTCATTTGGGACAAACTTGTTCTTTCACCAATGAGTCCATTGGACTATAATTTGAAACTCACATTCCCCGTGGGTTTCACCAAGCCTCCGCATATAGATTCATTGGACCTATTCATGTTGGGCTGGGATTAAAAAAAAATTAAAAAATAGATCTTAAGGTTGCGTTCAAATAGCACGTTAAAGGAAAATAACTCCCATAGAATTAGAGAAAAAAAATATGTAATACTCATTTATCCCACGTTTGATAAATAAAAAAGTACAAAGAAAATTCCATTTACCTTGATCCGGTTTGAAAAATTAATTTTAACATGTCTATGTAGACTAAATGAAACCCACGGGGGATTGAGATATTTTTTACACAGACGGGATAAGTTGAAAAAAATGACATATTTGCCCAAGCCATCAATCTTACCCTACACATGTGCTACCCAGACGTTGGAAATGATAGAATATATACTCAATAATTCCTAATCAGTCGAATGATGGAGAGATTTGAGTAGGATAAGAAAAGATATGTTTTTTTAGATGTTTAGTCCGGTTTAACTCTATCGTCAAAACACACCTTAAAGATACCAACAAAACAAATGATAAATCATGAAATTAGACTATCTTTTCAAATCTAACCATTTTATCTCAACCAATCACACATACCAAACAGGCCACAAGGTCAAAGTATGATTGTGCAAACATTGGGGGTGGGGGGAGGGGGTTGAGAGGTTTAAGGCAAGTCGCACGGTAGGAGGTAAAGTAGTTAAGTAGAGAGATGGGGTTGGAGATGATAATTAGAAGCAGCGAGTGAGGTCCGCTTCCAACGCAGAGATTCAAATCTTTCTCCTCCTCTCTCTGCTGGATTTCACTAAATCTTTCTCTATCTCTCTCATGGTCGACGTTGTATTCTATCCTATCCCTACCATCCCGCCGGTTGAACCGGTCACCCCCTGATAAATGCTATCTTCCTCATCCCACAAATACCCCTGCCACTCACTTTTATTACCAAGCATTTTTCACTTCAATAGTTTTTTTTTTTTTTTCCAATTTCATATTCCATTTTTATTTTTCTCAACACCATTTTATTTCGTTGTCCTTTTATTTTTTATCAACTCACCCCTTGGGGTCAGAGTAGGTTTGTCAATACGTCGGATTTTTTATCCAAATCCAATAAATTATATTTCATGATTTTGAATTTGGATATATACTAATATCTGATCCAACCTAAAATATTATGAAAATTAAATAATTAAAATGCAATTTATTAAATTTAGTTAAATTAAGTTACTTTAATGGAATTGAATTGAGTTTTGAATTGCTAACAGATTTGGACATGAACCACGACAATATGAGCTGATGGATTATCGAATTGGATTTCAAAATCGAATTCAGATTTAGATCAATCAAATTTCAATTCAAACTTGATCCGTCGACAAAGTTAAGTGAGAATGACTTAACTGAACTTGAGAATTAAAACATCACCCCATGGTGAAACTATATGTTATTTCGCATTCTATCTAAATATAATCATGTTGCATACACGTTTATGCAATGAGACATAATAGTATGCTCTAAAATGGAGTAGGTCACTCCTGTCTCGACAAGTAAATGGCTAATAAAGACCTCAAAAATTTTTTCAATTTTTTTTCAATAATAAAATTATTTTCTTAAGTTTACAGAGTTAAGATTCATGTAAGACTTTTAATTAACAATTTAATATAATTTGAATAATTTTATGCATCTCAAAAATATGATATTTCAGAAAAAAAAAACGCGTAATTGTAATGCAGAATAAACAAAATATATCCCAGCAACATTTATTTAAATGGAACTCTAATATAACCTGATTTCTAATTTCACTACATTAGAATTGCTGGAATATGTTATTTAATTATTAGAATTTTTGAAACTAAAGGTATGTTTTCTGTTATTTTGTAATATTAGTAGGCGTATTTATGTAATATCACAAGGTTCAAGCTGTCATCAACAAAATCGAAAATCTAGGAATTTTCAAAATTTAAAATGGAAAGCTAGCTGTAAATTTAAATAATTCCAAATGTTAAAATTCTGGAAGGTTTGAGCCTTCGAGGGAGATTACCCATTTTCTTCTGAACAAATTGCAAGACGACATGATGAATATGGATTTTTTTTTAACAGACATCAGTTCTGTCAGTTTGCTTTTCGATATGAGAATGGTGTTGTTTTGTTTTTACAGCAAAAACTGAAGGGGCATAAGCAAGAGAAGTGGGAGAAAAAGTATAAACATGGAGTTTTAAGTCCATGAATAGGATCTTCTGACTGTTTTTCCCTTTATTGAGACGCAAAGCTTTAGTAGGTATGTTGTTTCTGTTGATCTTTCTCAGTCAGTTTTGCTATATAATCATTTTCATTTCATAAGTGTAACTTCAAATAGTTGTAGTTTTTCTTTTTGGATATACATGTAAAGATGTGATTTTTAATTTGTGTAGCTACTCAAATGACTGCAAGTTTGTTTTGATTAGACTTGTTTGAAGATTATAAGTAAGAACTGAAAATTTTGAGTTTCTTTCTGGGTGTTTAATTTGGAAGGAGTAAACGATTGTTTTGGGTTTGAGTTATAGGGTTTTCCAAGTTGGGATTTCTTCATTATTGTTCTGGTAAAAAACACTAGTTTTTCTGGGTTGTGTGTGAATTGTGATTGTAAGGGATTCCTCCTTTGTAAATATCTTCTGTGCTATTGCAATGAATAATGGAGAAATATGCAGTCTTTAAAATTTCTGATACAAAAATGAAAAGAAAAAAGAGTTCCTGCCACTACTTATTCTGTTTGGAAAGAACTGTTCTCTTGGACATGGTTTTTTTTACAAAAATTATGTGTATTAATCTTTTGCCAATGAGCTTATAGCATGACCGAAGTGAATGGCGATGGCGGACTCCAATAGCCGACCCAAATAATTGAGACACGAGACTTGGTTTGGTTTATCAATCTTTTGCCAAATTTAGAAAAAAGTACCAATATTAGCTCTGCCCATGGAGTTCTGGCACCACCTTAGCCTTCCTAGAGTTTTATCATGCTTCATTTTTTTGCCATGGCTTCTCTTTTTGATCTAGTTTTGCAAAAAAAATGACAGTTGTTGTATGGTATGAAGAGATCTTTTTCCCTCTGATATGTGTTCCATAGCCATAAAACTTCATGCTAATGGTATCTTGCATCTGTTTATAGGCATGTTGGGATGGTTCTTTGCTAGATCTGGCCCTTTCTCTTTGCCTGGTTCCACATTTAGATTCCATGCTTATTCTCTGAAGACCAAAATTTGAATTTGTTAGGTACTTTTTTCCCTTTATAGGACTCCGTTCATTTCCACTGATATTGTTGAGATTGAGATGTTTGCAGTGATTATATGTTACAATGGATTCCCTAGACGCTTCAAAAATAGTGCACAGCAGAATCCAGAAATTGGAATCAGAGACTGTTACCCAGAAAATTATAGGGTATATTTTGTTACAGGATAATGGTGACCGGGAAATGATTCGGTTGGCTTTTGGGCCAGACAATTTACTCCACAAGTTGATACAGAAAGCCAAACTTCACCTTGGGTTAGTCTTAAAACCACCTGTTTCACCTCCTATTTCACCTTCTATGAACCCATCTTCCATTCCGGATTTTCCCTTTCAGTTTACTCCCTTTTCACAGACTTCACCCCAGCCTTCTCCAGCCCCAGCAGCGATGCGGTTTCCAGGTTCTTACTGGGACCCCCAACTCGCAGCTACACAGCAGTGTATGAATAATTCAGATTTCATACCAATAGTCAGCTCTCACTTGATCTCTGAAGACTATAGGTTCCAAAACCAGCCCCAGTTCATGGGTCTGGAGGATCAGTTAGAACCAGTCCACCCAGGACTCTCAGGATGTCCTAGTGATTGCTATTGCCTCGAAGCTGCATTGGGAAATCTGAGTATAAGGGGAACCCGACATTCTCGGGGCCTATCTGAGTTTCCTGTTAAGGTTTGTCACTATTTCAACAAGGGGTTCTGTAAGCATGGCAGTAACTGTAGGTACCTTCATGGACAATCCTTTCCAGAGAACTGCCATAATATGTTTGATCGTAATTCAATGGAAGTTGGTAATGAAGATCAAGTTTTCTTGCCTGGGACACTTGAGAAACTAGAATTTGAAATCACAGAGCTTCTGAAATCTAGACGAGGCAACCCTGTTTCAATTGCTTCTCTGCCTATGATGTATTATGAGAAATATGGAAGGACTCTTCAAGCTGAAGGTTATCTCACCGAGAGTCAGAGACATGGTAAAGCTGGTTTTAGTTTGACAAGGCTTCTTGCTCGATTGGAAAACAGCATTCGGGTGATTGACAGGTATGATTTTGATCTTTTTCCATGTTTGCTATCTCGTTATTCGTTATTGTTTTGTCCACAAATTACAGGTAAATTGATTAATGGCTGCATTACAGACCTCATGGGCAGCACTCAGTGATTTTGGTGGAAGATGTGCCAAAGTACATGGATTCCCAGTGTGAAAGGAATTACCCCGGTCCAATTGTTAGTGGTTCTCGACAGATTTATCTAACTTTTCCTGCAGAGAGCACTTTTACCGAGGACGATGTCACTGACTACTTCAAGTAATTCTATCTCAAAATTCTGACATGCAGTTTTCTTGCAGCTCAAGTTGGGCGTTCTAATTTTTCTTTGTTGTTGTTTTGGGATGTGTTCGTAGTGGCACCTTTGGGACAGTTGAAGATGTAAGGATTCCCTGTCAGCAGAAACGGATGTTTGGTTTTGTAACATTTGTGAGTGCAGATACTGTGAGGATGATTTTGTCAAAGGGAAATCCACACTATATACGTGGATCTCGTGTTCTTGTGAAACCATATAGGGAAAAATCAAAGCTCGTTGACCGGTAATATTTCCTTTTCATTTTCTGTTCTGGTGAAAGCTATCTCTATATCTGGTTTCTATTCCTTCTAAGGATTTGATGATCATGATCCCATCTTGATAAATCTCTGAAAATTTGGAGATTAAATTCTTGGTGTGTGACATTGATAGACCCTGTATTGTTTGGAAATGGAGCTTGAAATGTTGAGTTTCTTGCATGTAATTGTGGAAATTTTACTTCTTTATCAATACTTGAGACTATGTAGTATGCTGTTCCCTGTCTTTGTAAGTACTAATAGGACATTGGTGATTCGCAAACACCAAACTGGTTCTCAACTTGTATTCTGTTGTCTGAATGGAAGTGTCGGGTTAAAATATTTAAGCTGGTCTAAGGTTCCTAGAAGTTCAAAATAGGTTTTCATTTATAGTTCTAATAATACTGCATCTCTCCCTCACACATGCTTTTCTATTTAACGCAGGAAGTACTGTGAGAAACTTGATTCTCCAATGCTTTACCATTCGCACCATCTAGACATGGATTGTGAGCTTCACGCAAGTATGTCAAATTTATGTGTTTCTTTAGTGTAAACTGATTACTTATATATCCTGTAATTTGCAGCAAAAGCTATGCAATAAGTGTGGAAGTGGCAACTGTTTTTTATTGTTGGAAAGTCCAACGCAATTGCATCATCTTACTTTCTAATTATCAGAAACATTCGAAGATGTAATGAAAGCTATGGAGTGATCCACAAGGGTGTTCTCGGATGGATTCCTGAAATCTAAGTTTTGCTTCATAAAACCTTTTTTTTTTTTTATTAATGCTGCAATCAGAACCTCCTACTCAGTATGTATATATGTATCTGTAACTGTGAAATTTTTGAACCATGCCCTTCTGTGCATCCAACTGATGTAATTTTATGCACGTCTATGTTGTCTAACATTTTTCTTGTGCCAACAGGTTGGGAATCATCAAGATTGCTCAGGAAGCAGCTAATGGAAGAGCATGAACATGTCCTTGACCTTGAGAGAAGGCGTCTGTCAGAGCTGCAGTTAGCACAAAAATCACTGGCCAATCATTCCTGTTTTCAGTCCTCCATGGATGAGCTGAAAGTTTCTGAAGGTCTATTATGCTTTCTTTCATATATTATGTGCATGCAGTTTTCATCTTTGATATGCTTCTCCGTGATTGCATTTGTTGCGCCTGTTTCTTTCATTCTTACTCAAACCACCGGGTTTTGCAGGCCATTCCAAGTTCCCATCAGCAAAACGTCTTGGATATCTGCTAAATGCTTTGAACAGTGATTCAGCAAGTGATTATGACATACATCATACTGACATTAATCATTCGGACCTGGAGAGGTATGAATTTTTTTTTGCTATGAGCCTCTTTAATCTTATCCTTTCATGGATGCAAAGATATCATTTTTTCCCTCCAGTTCCTTGCCATTTAAATCCTAGGTTTTTTTACTCAGGTGATCGAACTAACGTTTCTTGTTGCTCTGGCGGCCAATGATAAAACATACAATTCCAGGCTAAAGCCCCCCATCCCCCTCCTGTGTTCTTGAAGAAAGTTGAACTAAAATATAAATAAATGATTCGTTCACATTAACACATGCTTAATTCATGCCTCTTTGTATCATTGGTAGCTTGTTTTGTTTTAGGACGCAGACTACTGAATTTTGTTTTCATAATAATCACGGTGTCTTTACTGAATGGTTTTATCATTATGTTTTAACTTCACAGGGGTCAAGGACATAATCTCCCAGATAGCCCTTTTGCATCTCCAGTTGCAGACAGCATTTCTACAATCGTATAGATTCAGGAACACAGAAATTACAGAGCTCATAGAGTGTGCCAATTTTCAAGGGCAAAAATCATAGGTTTGACAACTACAGTTATTTTTCCGCTTTCCCCTTTTTGCAACTCGTTCGTTAGTCAGTCGATGTTCCCTGAAAGTACATACTTGCAAAGGAAGAAGAATCATCAGCAGAGTATTCTCCCCATCACTTGGGTTGAAGGAGTTAGGAAAGAAGAATAGGACAGAGAAATAGTACTACACATAAGAAGGTTCTACAGTTTTTTATATTTGATGTTAATTACAGAGAGAAGGCAGAAGTTCTGACTCTTTAGAACAGAGTAAAATAGGGGTAGATGATGAAAGGAATATACAGATGCATGGTTTCAGGGAGTGAAAATATCTTGACAATCTTTGTTAACTCCAAGCAATAAATGAAAATTACTTCAGTCAGAGGGTGAGTAGCATCTTATACTGCTAACTTGTTGAAGTGGGTTCTTGTTAATAATCTTCTCTTGATGCAAAGAAGTGATATTGTACAGTCTGTGTTTGGTTAGGAAGAAAAAAATGATAAAAAGTGAAAATGATAGAAAGAAAAGAAAATGATAAAAAATATATTTTCATGCATATATTTTGTTAGAATGAAAATTTTGTGGGAAAGTTTTAAAATAATTTCATTCTATTGTTTGAAAGAAAGTAAAGTTATAAGAATTTTTTTATAATTGTCTAAATTACTCTTAATTATATTAAATTGGTCTAAAAAAGAAAAAAATATATGTAATTACAATTGAAAGTTAAAAAATTTTAAAAAAATGACTCGAAACTTAATTCTAAGACAATCACCAATGCAAAGGTCTTTGGGTCAACTTATGTGATTAATTAAATTCATACCAAAATTTTTTAAAATTAATAACCAATAACATATTTTAAGAAAAATAAGGGTAAAATGAGAAGTTAGTTATGAATCACAATTTTTTTGCATTTTTTATAAAAAAAAAAATTAGTTATTTGTGAGAAAATTCAAAGATGAAAAAAAATTATATTTTCTATTATTTTCTTTTTCTTGCTAACCAAATGTATGCAAATTTTAAAAAGTTTATCTTTCTTGTATTTTGTACCGTTATCTCGCTAAACAAACGAACCCTCAATAAATTTCTTTTAGTATTATTTGCATAGTTGTGACTTATAAGTCATAGGTTCGAGTCATAGAAATAATCTCTCTTTGTAAGAGTAAGATTACGTACATCTAACCCTCTCTTGTTAGATCCCGTAATCGCAGGAGCTTTTTACATTGGGTATCCCCTTTATTATTTGCATAGTTGTGTGAATGGATGTACCCCTCACCTCCGTCCTTCCCTCCTTCATTCACTCTCAGTTCTGCCACCCAAACCAGCCAGTCCACCCTTCAATCAACGCACTCCATCAGACCCACTGTCTATGTTTGATCCTCACACAGACAGACACCACGCAGTCTCTCTCTAGACCAAACACATGCACACAAGCTCTCACTCGTGTTTGGTGATTTGAATTGTATTAGCACTTTGGTTTTGGAGATTTGCATGGTGGCTTCGGTGATGGTTGGTCGGGGCTAGGGGTTGGCTAGGTGATGGTAGTTATGAACAGTGACGTGGATGAATCCTAGGGTTGACCGGAGTGATGAAGAGGAACGCTGAAGCATTTGAAGCAAGAAGTTGAAGCTGCCCATATTGTGGCAAAGTAAACAGAGGAAAGTTACAAATCGCACTAACGGAGGCCAAGTACCATGTAGGTTCATTGTATCCAATTGGGTTCATCTGAATAACTTCTAGCACAAACTTGATAAGAATTTTACTGCTACCAATCCAAGGGATCCCCAAAAAACCGAGCAAATTACACTTCATGTTAATGAAGAAATGTTCACGAGGTCCGAGTCCTAGCGCCTGTCGCTAATGATTTGCACCAGGGATAGTGCCCTGATGGTATCACAATAGGATAAACAGAACCTAATTGAAAATACAGTTTTCGCGATGACGCCATATGGGAAAACCGCATCTATTCTGTATGCTGAAAATCTACATTCTTATAGTGGAAACAAAACTGGACCAGTTCCTGGGACAGGTCATAAGTAAAACTTATAAAATACTTGTGTCGGTAAATAAAAACTAACTATGAAAAATGAACCAATTTTTTTGGAAAAAAGATGGCAACTCGGAAGCTTGCTCACCAGGAGTTCATATGGATATAAACATCTGACCTTCACTCTAATACGCTCCTGAATACTTCCACACGTAAGAACAGTATTAGGCACTTGATTTGCAGGAGAGAAAATTCAGCTAGTCCATTGCTCGGGGGAACACTCTGAATTAACTTGATGCTCATTACTTTTTTTCATATTTCTTTGCAAACTCCTTGAGTAGTAATCTCTGTCGAAACGCTAGATATTTATCTAAGCTAGTCCCTGCCCATTGCTGACAAAAGCATTCATCAGTTGGAACAAATGAACTCAAAGGAAATGGTCCCTTTGGAGCTTTCTTTAGGGCAACCAAAAACCTATGCCGGGGACGAATTCTCTGGTCTAGAGACAAGCTTAGGTACATAGGATATTTGGCCAAGGATTGCACCTCATTTCGTAGTTCATTGGTCAAGTACATGTACTTAGGCTTCAGATTCCCCTCAAGTGACAGAGAAAATACCTGCGAGTAAGGACAACGTCACTTAAATAGTGGACAACATTCAAATAATTGACATGTCCTGTCTACTCATGAAGTTCTTTTATGGAAAAAACTATTAGGATTGTTGAAGTCTATCATGACTTTTCAAGCGAAAAGAAGCTATGCATGAGAAGAGACAATTAATGAAAACTTCAACAAAATGGTAGCTCAAGAAAGCCCAGTGATGTATAAGTATATTTTGTAAGGGACAGCAAGGATACCTGTGCAAGGCTAGTCAATACTTTCAATATGTCAGAATTGCTCATCCCAGTGCTCCTTAGAAAATTTATCCTCGGCAGTAATCCGTCCTCAATGCTGTAGTGAAGAAGTTGGGGGTGTTTTGTAACCATCTTCACTACACTACTTCTGGGCGCTCCCAATTCCTTTGTAAGAAAACTGAAACGTGTGTTCCATGAACTGTCAATCCGCTGAACCAGGATTTGAGGGCTTAGCTGCACAACTTTACTAAGTTCGTCTTTCTTAATGCCAACTTCCTCAAGCAGGTATCTTACCGTGGGCTTTAATGAGTTCTCCACACTATAAGAAAACAGGGATGGAGTGGCAGTAATTATCTGCCCTATTCTGGACTCTGGAATACCCAAACTTGCCAAAAAAGTGACATGGGATTTCAGATTGTTCTCAACAGTATACTCTAAAATTTGTGGCTGCCTCATAAGTATTTTTCTAATGTCTCTATGCTTGACACCAATACCCAGCAAGAACTCCAACCTTTCCCGTGCAGAACCCACATTTATCTGAAGGGAGGGCATATGCCTCTCATACATTTGGATAAAGTGTGATTCCTTAAGTCCAAAAGTACTCAAGTAATCCAGAAGTGGAAACCATCTCTCGTCGAGATCTATTTCTTCTGATAGTCTATGAAATCTGTCCTTTGCAGGGCTTCCGGCCTCCTGTGCAATCAGATAAGACATTAATGCCATTATTACCATTTACAATAAAGTTTGAGTGACACCAAATAGTACCTTTTTTCTTACATCTGCACCTATGTTACCAACATTTACTGGTTTACTTGACACGCCGTAGAAACTGCCACTATTTCTCTTTGATAAGGTGTTCTTGCCATTAATTTTCTCAGATTTTGATGATCTTACATCCAATTCTCTTTCTAAATGGCTGTGACTGCCTGCACAAATAGGTAACTCTCCAGTCAATACCCCTCCGAAAAATCTGTAATAATCCAAAAGGCATACCTTGTTTTGTGTCCTGTGACTTAAATCTCTGACTATGAGCATCAGAATCTTCTATTTCTGCATAATCGTCCTGGAATAACATCGTACAGTTAAAAAGGGAGATTTTGACCATGAAAGACAGAAGTATTATAAGTTGAGCATTATTCAAGTAACAATGGAATTCAAAAACACAGCAATACTCACAGAACAAAAACACCTGTTAACCTACCAACAGTGGAATTCAAGTAAATAGATTGTGGGGAACAAAAGATAAATGGGCCAAATTTTGAATTCCTTTGTGTATAAAGCCACAACATCGGTGCTTTCTAGTAAAGAACACAGCAATACTCACACCTAAGACAAGGGAAATATCCAGAAGTACAGATCGTATTACTCCCTTCTAAGCTAATATGTTCATTTGCGTAAACATGCCCTACCATGGAGAAACAAGAAGTGACTTTCCTTTAGCAATGATGGTGGCAGCAATGAATGTGCTCGCCTGTCTCATAATGTTAACCTTGTTCATACAAGGCAATGGGGTAGGGTGGGGTGGAGGGGTACGTATAGTTGTGTCATTGAATACTGCTTAGCTCTGTTGCTGCCAGATAACAGTACCGCACCTCCTCTGCTTATGTGTGTGACTTGGAATTTCAATTGATGACTTGTTCATCCGCAAAGTTTCATTATTATGGATATAATATCAGAGTGTCAATTGCAATATCTAAAAGCCAAATTCCACAAACATAAAGATGCAATGAAACTTTAGAACTTCAAGCCACAAGGACAAAAAATGACAAAGAAAATGAAACAGATAAGTAGCCTGAAACTGGAAATCTGAATCTGGCAACGGGCAAGGAAGAATGAGACAGTAAAACTCCGGAATGATAATTAGTTGTGGGGATAATTACGAGAACATTCTTTCAGAGTGAGAATCTTACTCATTTTTCTTTTTTAAACAAGCACAAGCACTCATTAATTTACTAATCAAACCTATTGCTCTAGTTCCATGGACTCTGACATATCCTATTGAACCTTTGTATGATCTCACAAAAGCACTTGAACATCTTTAATCATCCAAATCCAAGGAACAAGAAAGGCATAGCTATGTGTGATTCAAAGTTGAAAAAAAGCGATAATTTAGACCAATTCAAGAAGCTAAACTACAGTAATCTGGAGATATAGGCCAAAAGTCTCTATCAAAAGCAGGAAATGAGGACAAAGACAGCCAATAGTAAGCATAGAAATATAGAAAATACTTCTCACATCAGAAAGCCAATCATCCTCTGAGTCATCTTCATCTTCCTCATCACCAATGCCAACACTGTCGTCGTCTTCGCTATCGTAAGGGGACATTGTCTGACCATACCTTGACCTGCGATTCGATTTGAGAATCTTGTGGTTGGAGTGCGACGATATAACAAAGATCCTTGTGGTACTAGTACTACTGCTACGTTTGAGGGTTCTTGGTTGGAAAAAGCTGTGACTGCTTGAGAGTGAGTCTCCATAGGATTGGAAGAGGGAATGACAGAGATATAGAGATTGAGAAGAGTGAGAGTGAAGTATGGAATTGAATGGGTAGAGAGAAGATATAGCCATTTTAGTACAGTAAGGGAGAGAGAATATACCCTAAAACCCTAATTAGAATGTCTGAGAAGGCTGTAGAATATCTGCCTTTCCATTATCCACTGTTTTTTTATCTTTTTTTCTTGTCGTCTACATACTGCCACCATTACCATGCTTTGTCTTCAAATTTGTGGCCGTTGTTCTCGTTAACGACGGAGGTTATTTTATTTTATTTTTTTATCATATCTCACTATTACAACCCGACCCAACCCAACCCAACGCACAAAATAAAAAACAATCCACCACTAACACCGTCAATATGTTTTGTTATATATTATGAATAGAAGGAGAGTTGAATTTTTTAGTTCATCTTCTTTTAATTTATTATTTTTTTGTTTATTGTCGGTGGCGTTATGGGTGGTAGTGATGAATTTCCATTGAATAAGAGTTGGATTTACCCATGAGTAAGACAATTAATTTCGTTTAGTTTTTATTGGATAAAGTGTAAGATACAAGGGATAATATTATCGTTTAAAAAAAGAGAAAAATTAGTTTCTCGCTCTTTAAAAAATACATACTTGGACTTAATTAGAGGGCTCGACAACAGGCCAGATCGGGCCAGCCCAACTTAAGATTTTACTGCCTGTGGCCTTGGCCTCTGGGCTTTGACTAATCAACTGGCCAGGCCCCTGTTAGGAATTTTTAAGGTCCATACCCCATCGTGGGCCCCCTATTGGGCCCAAAATGGGCTAAATACGTTGGAAAAAGATATCAATTACATAAAATTAGTATAAAAATATAAATTAACAAAAAATTTATTCATATTGATTGAATTTAACAAATATTCATATAGAATTACAATGTTACATTACAAATTAATTGATAAGTGAGATTATTTTGCATCACTACAAATAGAATACATCCCAACTAAATTGACACTTACATAATTGTCAATCATTTACAAGTCTCGACCATATAAAAGTTACAGATCAAGTATCAAATAAATAAAACAATTATGAAATATAATCTAAATTATATTCTAATGAGTATATTCTATTAGGCTAACGGCCCGGCCATCAAGTCCTCGACCCTAAAAAACACAGTTCAAGTCCTACTCGCTGGGCTAACGGGCTATCTAAGTCTTGCCACGTGTATGGGCTAGGTGGCCCGTTAGGCTTCCAGGCCATGGGTGGCCTACTGGACTTTTTTGTGTGGCCTACTTATTTACAAATTAGATACAAAATTTATAATTTTCAACAATTTTCACTATTTTAAATTGGGCCTCTTGAGTAAATATTATAATTTGTTCCTAAATTTTATTTTTGTTTTTATTTTGATTCTTTAATTTTTTTAATTATTTTAATTTCATCTCTCAATTATTAATTTTATTTTAGTTAAGTTTTTTTAATTAATTTTTACCGTTACGTCTACCAAAAATTAGTCAATTTAATTTATTTTAAGCATTAAATCATATATTTTAATTTTGATCTAACAGTGAAAATAGACAGAATTGATAGTTGAGAGATTAAATTCAAACAATTGAAGATTTAAGAACCAAAAAAAAAAAAAAAATTAATGACCAACTATGATATTTATCCTAAAATAAAACCTTGTTAAAAATCTTGAGCCATGAGACCTGATTTAAATTTTCTTAGGATTTTATTCCACTCGTTTAACTAAGAAAAAAAGTTTGTTAAATTGGAAAGTGGACCCATTAGGCCCACACCCCAAAAAATCTAGGGCTCCATAAAAGCCCCTCGTAGGTGGGCCACCGAACCACAGGTCTAGCCCTGGTCCACCTACCCAAGTTCAGCCTGTCCAGTCGGTAGCGCACTGATTTATGGTCGGCCCCGACCATAAATCATTAATAATCATATTTGTTGTTTGTTTTGCTGTTGTATCCTGAATTTGCAATATGATCAATCATTGCCTAAATGTGCTTGATGAAGTTTTTATTCCTTATTTACTCTCTCCGAATCTCAGTGCAATTGTGGGATGATGCACTTTTTTCAAAATCTAAATGCAATTTTCTATGCTGCATTGGGTTGTATAAGTATTCTGTGTGGTTTCTTGAGTACAGGGCCTTTTGCTGTTACAGTGTTACTTGAACCTGGCTCCCATTGTTAGACTGAGCTGATCCAACTGAAGTAACAACTATGTTAATTAGCTTATCTTCTTCCACCTCATATAATTGGAACATGAACTGTCAGGTGGCTGTGTTTTCTGTTAGGTAATGTCGTTTACTCATATTAGTCAAATGTCTTTCACTTACCTTTCTTGTATTCAAGGGGATTGCAACTGCTCCAAATGACTGAACGCTTGCTCAGCTAACATGTGGTGAAGCTATTGGTGATTACAGTGTTTTTCCAATCGTTTTTTATATTAGAGACTTTCATTTTTAGAGTGCATAAGTTATGCAATTTTCAGATGGGGTAGGATGAGGTTTCTTCTTTGGTGTTAAATCTGCAAGCTATTTCATTGAGTTATATTTGTGTACTTTTTTGAGTTTCAATATGTGCATTTGGTTTGTGTTTTTGTTAAGAATATTGATAATGGGGTTTATATTATCCAGTAGAGTAATGGAGACTTCTTCCCTTATGATCAACCACTTGAAAGATCTACAAACATGTTTTGAGATTTTTTGTAAGTAATCTATGAAGTTAAAAGTCCCTGGTATGATAATCTTTGATTAATTGTTCCTGCATTCAATAGGGCAGGGCAAGTTTTCGTGTGAAGACACTGTCCTTCAAGAGGGATGCCACGTATTAAGGAAATGCTTCACAGCATCTTATGGTTTTTAGGTAGAAAATTGATGCCCTTGATGATATTTTTGTAGCAATGTCTAGAACAGTGATTATCTTCTTATAATAGCTGGGAATTTGCACAAACGATACAAAGTCAGACCTTAAGCACTAGCAAAAGTAACTGGAAGCTGCTACAGGCACCAAGAGGAATGATTTTAAGGTAACGGGTAGCAAAACCTCCTCTTGCATTTTGCTTCACTGGGTACATGAACTATTCATGTAAACCAACTATGTGCAAGCTTGTTATGAACAGGCACAACTAAACATCAATACACAACCATTTCAGTCAAAAATTATGACAAAGCAGGGGAGTACAGCACTTGGATCTCGGACAAACAAATATTCCGCCTTGGTGTTCCGTCCACTTCCAACTGAGTCATACTCCTCTTCATACTCCCCATCAAACATATTAACTACTGTCCCTGCTATTGTCCGGCAAACTATGGTAGCCTTCTTCACACATGCCTCCTTTGCAATAGTATTTTTGTCTTCACTGAATTCCTCACTGCTAGTGCTCAATTGAATTCCATTTCTTCTGTTGTATGCAGTGTTGAAACCAGATTGAATGAGCCTGCAAACTCGACAGGCGGGATCATTGCAAAGCTCAGATACTTTGCTTAGCTTTCTTCTGCAACAATTCATTGTGGTGCCATAGAACTGTAAGATCTCATTTCCATCCACTATAATTCTTGGGTGCCTCTTATGTTGCTTATAGGATTTATTCTTCACCATCTCCCTGTACTTTTCAAACTTTTCCAGGGTCTCCTCCGAATTGTTCACCCTGAGGACTTTCTTTATCTTCCTGGAGTGCTTTGAGGGATGTGATGCTGCTGCTTGAAAGATCAACTTGACGACATTCCTCGATGAGTTACTAATGTCCAGCTCTGTTGAAACACAAAGGTAACATGTTACATGACATCCTGGCAAGTATGAGTAGCAACTATATTGCAGTGATATTAGATGGACAATTTCAAAGGATAAGGTGAAGAAAGCCTCTCAATGGCTATTATTATTCTTATATTTTGAAGAGATTATATTACTCTTATATTGCTGTGAGGTGTGTGTTACGTTTTCGTTCATGGAGGAGGAAAATAGGTGCCTAGAAAGCTTACCATGATACAAATTCCGCGTGTAGGTTTTCTGGAATATCACTTCGCGCATTGGGCGTCCCTTTGGATGAACACGGTCGCCTTCTAAGTTCTTTTCACCGGTGCAGCTTCTTAAAGAGGTTCTCTGGCTGATAATTACGTCTGTAAGCTTACTACCACAGTTGAAGCTCTCCTTCAAGGATATCCACATGGCATGCATCTCTCTCTCTCTCTCTCGCTCGCTCCTGCACCTGCAAACTCTACATCACTAATACTTCAATCTCTTTGAAATCTGAAAACCAGACCAACTGATATGTTTATGAAACTTCCCTACGAAAATCATTATGGACAATAGTGTCTTGAACTTTCTTTCTTCATTCAGTGGGAATGTTACGCATTTTAGTTAGGCCAGTAAAACGAAGCTAAATCCAAGGTAGCAGCTCAATAGATGATGTTCTCGCTACTACGGGGTCAGTCAGATATGCGTCAACTTACCTCAAGACCAGAGAGGCTATTTCTATAACTTGAACCACCTCTCTAGATGAGGATAAAATTGCGTGCATTTGACCCTTCCCAGGCTCTAGTTTGGTGGTTTACAAAACCATAGAGAGCTATGAGAGTTGAGGCATACCTTGCAACCAACCACCACTGCAGCAAAGCTAGCTCTGTTGATCCATGTCTGTGTCATGAGAGATTCTGAAAGAAACTGGTGTTTTGTTGTGCTGCAGCTTTTAAAATATTGAAAGGCTACATTATCAGGATGGCATTTGGTGGAGATTTTTGCAACGTGACTGCATGATTGTACGGTTTTAAGGGAAACAGAGACAAGGAGAGAATTTAAGTGATTTTGTCTTCCCAGTGGTAGATGTCAGCTTTCTCCATCAAGAACAACAGGAAGGTAGGCGTAGTTTGGTTTTACTAGCAAGTAGCCAAAGAGGTTGAAAAATAAAAAATCACCTTCAGGACTCTCTACTTTGTGCATGTATAGGCAGGGCCGGACCCAGAAATTTCTTTTTTTTTGGGGATCTAATGTAACCGACAACGTAAACTAAACATATAGTTTATCAATTCAAATTCTCGATGCAAAAAATATATTCAACAAAGTAATATATGTGATAAAAAAATAAAAAAAAAAAGATATGGAAAAAAATTAAAGATGAACAAAAAATAATTTTGAGTACGTATCAACTTAGTTGTATACTAAATCTGTAATACGCTTTTTAACAATTTTTTTACCACCTAGTTAAAGAATTTATAATGAAATCATTGTCTATCGTACTGTAAAACCTTCTTTTGACAACATTTTGACATGATATGATTAAAAAACCTAATTCACTATAGTCTTTTGATCAATCATGGACCCCATTAAACATTAAAATTTAGCGTTGATTCAACAGTTACAATGAAATTACATCATTAAATCAACAATTATGTCAAATTTTAAGATCTCAATAGTATACTCAACATTTTATCAAATTGACTAGATGTATTGTAATACCACTTGTGACTGGGGATGTAATTCAATAAAATGGTAATATTATGGTATCATTAATACGTGATATCAACAATCCATTATAAAATATCATATGATCTAATAAACTCTATTTCAACTACCATCAATAATAACTATCGTATTGGATTAAGCGATTTTCACTTATCCTATTGTGTATTTTATAATTGATTAATCATGTCACATGTAAAGAGATAACACAATATATAACTACTAGTTATTGTTTGTGCTTAAAGGCACGAAGTAATAAAAAAAATAATCAATAATAAATATATTTGTATTCAAACCCAAAATCAAATCACAAACATAGAGGAAAGATAAATGAATTTAAACACCGGTTGTAATGGAGGTAAGCGATAATAGTAGTTGTGGGAATTAGTGATTGTTGTGGTGGGTGGCGATGATCGTCGTGGTGGTGGCAATAGTGATGGTGGTGGTGAGTTTTGGGTGACGATGATGGTAATGGAAGTCATGAGTGACAACAGTGGTGGTTGTAAGCAACGATGATGGTGGTTGGTAGTGGTGGTGATGGGGTAACTACGGCGTTAGTGGGCGACGACGGGTGCTTTTGGCTACAGGGTGATGGGTGGTAACAAATGGTGGTGGTGATGGTAGGTGTGGTGGGGGAAGGGTGACGACGGGTAGTGGTGGGTTGTAATAATGGTTGACGGTGGCTGGTGGTTGGGGGGCAATAATGATGATGGGTGGGTGCTGATGGTGGGCGACGGTGGTAATGGGATAATGGTGATAGTAATAACAAATATAAGAATGAGATGACGATGATAATAACTATGAATGACAGTGATAGAAATCAATAGTGGGTGATGATAGTAGTAGTGTGGTAGTGGTGGTTGTTGGGATGGTGGTGGGGGTGGGGTGGTGACGATTGCAATGGGAGTGGTGGTGGTGATCGTTGTGGGAGTGGGTGTGGTAGGGCTGATGGTGGGACAGTGGCGGTGATAGTTGTTGTGATAAAAGTAGTGGTGAGATGGCGACGGTGGTTGTGGTGGTAGTGGTGATGGTGGTGGGGGTGGGGCAGTGGAGGGTGGGGGTGGTGATAGCGGTAGCGATGGTGGTAGTGGTGGGTGTGGTGATAGTGGTGGAGTGACAATAATGGTGGTAACGACGGCAGCAACGGTGGTGGTGATAATGGTAATGAGGGTGGTAGCGGCAGTAGTGGTAGCGACGGTGGTGGTAGTGGTGATGGTGGTTAGGATAGGGGGTAGTTGTGGTGGTTGGGTGGCGGTGGTGGTGATAATAATGATGGGGCGGTTTCAAACATTAATTTTTTTTTAAAAGTATTTATAAGAAATTGTAAATTCTAAAAGTACTTTTAAAAAATTACCCTAAAAACACTCTTATGAATTTATTTTTCTTATTAAATTTGAGGTGTTAATATTAGTCATCAGAATAACTTTAAAATAAAATTTAAAAATATCTCAATTGCAAAAAAAAATCATTTTATTTATTTTTTTAAATTTCAATTATATTGCACTTTATTATATACATTTACTCATCGAAAAGAGCCTTAAAACAGTAGAATGCACCAAAATGTCTGTAACATCAATGAAAAATGCTTTGCTTCCACAAGGATGGTTGGATCAATGAGTCTTGTCAAAAAATTATTGAGATCCACTAATCTAATCATCTTAATTAATTTGGGATGCGAATTTGGGTTATAAATTTGGGTTTTGCAGTAGTGTTCAAAATGCAATCTTGAATTTGTCCACATTTCCATGGACCACCATTGATCTCTGTCTGCCTGAACTGTTCTGCACAAGCACAATCTTGAATCATTGTGACAAAGGCAGCCACAATAACTTTACATTCAGTTAATCATTGTGACAAAGGCAGCCACAGTAACTTTACATTCAGTTCAGACAAACTATGTGGTCCATCCCTCATTCTTCGACAACTCAGATCTTCACAAGCATTTAATTCTTGTCTGTACCAAGGCTCGAACTCTTAGCGAAGTTCAAGGGTTGTAACCACCCAAGTTAACTCGCGGTGGTTGCTTCTCAAAAGCCATCAAGAGGTAAAAAAAAAAAAAAGACCAATGCAATGTAATTCAAATTTACATTCCAAATCAATAAGTAAATCAATAAAAACCATTAAATCAGTAGTTCTAATTTAAAAAAAGTTGATAAAACTCATTCATCCAATGGTCTCCGTTTATTTGAGATGTAAATTTAAATTGTAAATTTGGGTTATATAGTACTTCCTTAAAAAAGAAAAAAAAATTTGATAAGCACTTCTGCAATAAACATTGTCCTTTGGTAAGAAGATGCAACTCTACTGTTCATATTTACACAACATACGAATTCGAGAAAACTATTATCCCACAAACAACACACTCACAAGGAAAGTAACTGCAAGGCAGCAGTAAAAGTATACACCAAGACCAGCTCTTCAACATTTTAATGAAGTATTTATACCATCAACCTGAGATACTTTCTCTCAGCTTTTCACCCACAGAGAAGCCGAAAAAAAACTAATACCTGTGGCATCTTATTCTATTTTTCATTGAAATTCGGTAACAATTTCACGGGCCCAAAAGTATTCTTCCAAGGTTTTGCGGATACTGGCCGGAGGAATGGTGTAAAGGTGGACTCCCAAAACTATGACCTTCAATACGATTTTCTCTAGATCCATACAGATTCATGCTACCATTTGTAGCACCATAGAATGCGGTAAATGGTGAAGCTTGAACTATGTTTGAATTGGAAGTGGTAACATGCACTTGGCTTTGGAGAGGCACAGCATCCAGTGTTTGCTGCTGCTCATTGGTTCCATTTTCAGCACCACAGCTGATCCCCACCCCAAGATCAAGGCTAATTGTATCATTCTCTACTGATCTAATCCTTGGTACTCCATTTCCTGCTGTGAGTCCTGCTATGTCATGGCTACTAGTCCTCGCAGAAGGAACATCATGATTGTGTTTTCCCTCATATGTAGTTATAACTGCTTTGGGGTCATGCGATGCTCTCTCCACATGTTTCCTAACTGGGCATCCAGCATTTGTGCACTTGTAATAACTCCTGCATCACATGTAAAAACGATAAGGAACACCATATTTCACATCAATTGAATACGAGAAAAAGAAAGGAAGAGGCGCAAGGTATACAATGACAGCCCAGGAAATAATAGGTTCCATCAACAAGATTTGACATGCATGTATGCTAAATAAACGTAAATAAGGCCCCAAACAGGTAAAAGTAACATTAGATTTATTGCTACATGGTTCACAGCCATTTATACGTGTCTGTTATAATTTGTACCATAACCACGACTGTTTTAAGAAATTATCCTAATGGAAAATGCAACATTTGATCTAGGGTTTGGTATTCAAGATCAGTCTCAATTCTCTCAGCATTAGGAATAACAGCATTTGAATCATGAGTTAGTACAGTCGACATAAGCATGCAAGTGCATTGAATACAGATGGCTAAAAGTGCCTGGAAGTTTTCTTTTTTCCTTGTTTAGGAAATTCTCAACAGATCATTATAACAAACCATCTTTTTTTTTCTTTCTTTTAAAAAGAAGTAGACATTATAATAAACCATCTCAGCCTTCATTTGAGCTGACTACGGTTAGGCTCATGTTACACTAAAAATAGGTTCAATTAAATCCTACTAGTTTACAAATGGTTGGAAAATGCACAACCAAACAGACAAATGAAAACTATGCAGAAACACAGTCCTACCAGCTCC